ATCTACCCTTGAGGGGGTGATAAAGGAAAGCTAGTATCTGCTCTTGAGGGGGTGATAAAGGAAAGCTAGTATCTACCCTTGAGGGGGTGATAAAGGAAAGCTAGTATCTGCCCTTGAGGGGGTGATAAAGGAAAGCTAGTATCTGCCCCTGAGGGGGTGATAAAGGAAAGCTAGTATCTGATGATTATGAGATGGCTGGTTTATTACATTTTGATTTTCTTGGGTTTTTACTAACGAAGATTTAATCAGTATTCTACATCTTGGACAGTTGATAAATGGAAACAAGATGACTGCATTAATTCTTAGCTGGTTAAGAACAAACTGGGAAGTTTAAAAAATGATTAGTCTCCTGGGCCAGATAATATTTCTCCAAGAGTTTTGAAGGAGGTTAATGCTTGTATATGTCAGCCACTTGCTAGTATTTTTTGTCAGTCCTTGAAGAGTGAGCAGGTACCAGAGGATTGGAAGATAGCTAATGTAACTCCTCTTTTCAAGGGAGGTGATAATAATTGCCCCAGTAATTATAGACTCAGTAGTCTTACATCAGTTGTGGGAAAAGTTTTGGAAAGTCTGAAAAAATATGCTTTACAAAGTCATTTAACAAAGTTTAGAATTTTATTGGATAGTCAACATGGTTTCACTAACGGAAAATCTTGCCTTACAAATCTTTTGATATTCTTTGTAAAGGTTACTGCTTATGTAGATGAGGGTTAGAATGTAGATTTGGTGTATCTGGATTTTCAGAAGGCATTTAACAAGGTGCCACATACAAGGCTTTTAAAAGAAATTAGCTCTATAGGTGTGGGGGATAAGTTAACAAATTTAGATAGAAGAGTGGCTGGGTGGAAGAAAGCAGAGGGTTGTTACAAATGAAGTTCAGTCAAACTGGATTAATGTCATAAGTGGGGTACATCAGAGCTCAGTCTTAGGACCTTTGCTGTTTTTGATTTACATCAGTGACATAGATGAAGGAATGGTCAATAAATTACTTAAATTTGCAAATGATATTAAGGTCTTGGGTGTTGCCAGCCATGTAGAGAATGTTGTTGATTTACAAAAGGATTTAGATCAATTAGTGAGTTAGGTAAATAAATGGCAAATGGGTTTTGATTATAATAAATGCAAAATAATGCATGTGGGTTATCATAATTTGAACTATAAGTATAATTTCGATGAGAATAACCTTAACCTGAAAGAAAGGAATCTTGATATAATAGTTGAACAGTCTCTAAAGCCATCCAAGCAGTGTCCTATTGCTAGTGGTAGGGCAAATAGGATTTTAGGTTGTATCTACAGAAATACTGGAGTCTAAAGAGGTTATAATTTCATTGTACAGGTCACTGGTTAGGCCACATTTGGAATATTGTGTTCAGTCTTGAGTTCCTTACCCTAGGAAAGACGTTGAATTGTTGGAAAGAGTTAAGAGAATGATTACTAGAATGGTGCCTGAGATGGAGGGGTTGTCATTGGAGGAGAGGTTGGGATCTCTCAAATTGTTTTCTCTTGAAAAAATAAGAGTTATGGGGGATCTCATTGAAGTGTTTAAGATTGGAAAGGGAATTGATAGTGTTGATGGATCATCTTTTTTTCATACTTAACAGTGAGAATAGTAGGACTAAGGGACACATTTATATACTTTGGCAAGGTAGGAGTCATATTTAGCTCAGACAATTTTATTTTTCTAACAGGGTGGTTGGCCTTTAAAAATGGGTTGCCTTCGAATGTTGTGGAGGTAGTAAATGTAAGTGAGTTTTAGAGAAAGATTGATAAGTATATGAATGATAAGAACTGGCTTGAAGATTTTTTAAAAATTATTTATTAATAGTTTTAATTTAGATTAGAAGATGGATCAGCCGAGATGGACCAATAAGTCCCATGTTGTTCCAAAACGTTATGATATTGTTACGTATCTGGTCGTTTGTTAATTTCCGGTATAAATTATTTCCGAGAAACGTCAGATAT